ATTTATTATATTATATATTGATACCATTATTAATACATTAATGTTATTGATTATATATAACAGTAGCATTATATTATATAGTATTATAAATTAATACTTTACATATTTTTTTGAATATATTAAGTATGTAATATAGTAAAAATAAAATAAGTAATAGTTTAAAGAGAAATATTGAAAATTTTATCCTTACATTTAAGTATACATTGTAAGTATTATTATATTTATAATTATTATAATTATATTATTATAATTGTATGCTTATAACTATACTGTTTAAATAAACACTATTATTAGTTTCAATTTTTTAATTTCTATTTTTCTCATTGAAATGAAGAATTGCTTTCTTCCATGGTCCAATAAAAGTTTGATTATACAGGAACTTCAGAGTCATAGCAAATTGAAAACTATCAGTAACAGGAAAAGATCCATCAGCTACCGTGCATGAATCATCTATTTTTGCAGGTGTCGTTTATCAGGCTAAATAACTATGTATAATGCACTCTTTATCTTGTATCCAGCTCGATAAGGAGAAATTGAGGGTTAAAAGGATTTAATTGAACCTAGTGTAGTGGTCGAGGTACTATACTATACACAGCAGACCACTGTCTACTGTACTGTACTATATCTCGGATACTCTATCATTCGCATATTATAGGTTAGTGCAGCATCGCATTAAAGGCACGTCATGTTCATTTGACGTTACGAGGAAACTCCATTTTAATGATAATAACGAAATCTAAAGTCTCCTATTCAAGGCGACTAAAATACTGAAAATTTACCAATTTAATTTAAAAAATAATTTTCGTCATGAAGGCGACATAATCATAATATCAAAATTACAAAAATGTATTTCTATTAAACATTTCTATTGAAATATTCATTAACGAACATGTATTAAAATAGAAATTAGAATCTGACATATAGCATAATTTAAATCAAGTTTCTTATAACTACCTTTACGCCATTTTGAAAAATATCCTGCAAATTAATTTATATAAATTATTAAATAGATGAAAATATTGGAAAAAATTTATATCTTTTATCAATTTTATTTTTGATAAAATTATTTCCTCTGTCTTATTAATTAGAATAATTCTTATTCATAGCAAACATCTCTTTTTCTTGGTTTTATATGTTTTATATTAAATATTAATAATTTTATTTAATTATTTATATTAATGTCTTTTTATATTTTTGTATACTATGTTTTTACATAGTATATTTATTCATAGGAATTTCTTTTTCCATTCAATTTCCCATATTTTTATAAATTTTATGGTAAATCTAGAGGATGAGTTTTGCCCAGCACATTTATATATTTTAATACAAATTAAATCACGATACAACAATAATAGTATTTTTATTTTATTTCCATTTTATTCATAAATGCACTTTCTCGAAAGTTTCGTTCGCAAGTGCACTTTGCTTCAAATTCTTCTTAACATATATAATCGAATAAAACTTGTATTCAGTCTCTTTCGCATGACGGAAGTTTGGACTCCGTGCGGAACTTTTGTTACGACCGCTTACAGCGCCATCTGCTTACTTACGGCAGACGCGTTAACTTGTTAGTGGAACATCGAGTATCGATAATCGTGAATGGATGTGAATATGATTCACAAGATGACGATGTCGTTATCGTAATTAATAGCATGTTATGGCAATGGAAATTTAGTGTGAATATTTACAGTAAGTATGTTAAAATGAATTTTAAACGTTAGAAATACTTACCTAGGAGAATCAAGTATTTGAGGTTAGAATATGAAAGAGGAATACATAACAACCTGAGGTTTTGTATAGTGTGTTGATTTTTGAACCTACAGTTACAATCAATGACACTTACAATAACTTAATATACAGGGTGTCTCGTATTTCAATTACAAACTTAACCACTGTCATTAAGTTCTATAGGCAAAAATAATAGTGAAATTCCTTATTTAGAAATTGTGAGAAAAGGATATATAAAGCTTATAAAATACAATAATATTATTCCCCTTAATTTAGTATAGTGCAGAAATACTTACTAGAAATAAATTTATTGTATAGATGTCAAAGAAACGAAATTGGATACTGAAATTGCTAGTGACCTTATCTTATAATTAGTATACTAAGAACTAAACTATTGTGATCACTTATAACCCACTGATACCAGTTGAATGTTGATTTGGAACGGCGCCAGGAGATTGTAGAAGGCAATCGTCTTGGCTCATTAACAGCAAAATTGCAGATACTCGAGAAAATATTTACCCCTTTTAAAATAGAACCCAATATATCACGTATACTCCATAGGACAGCTTTCAAATAACCATATAAAATCCAACCAACAATATTTTTATGGAGATTTTAACCAAATAAAGTTTACCTTCAATAAAGAATATTTATTGTATTGTATTGCATTGTATATATTGTTTCAGTGACCTTCTATTATGTCATTTTATACCTAAAATGACTGGAGGAATTGATTTATGTAAAAAAGAAATCGTGGGATTCTATTTTAAAAAATAATACAACTGCATTTTGCATGAGTGTATTTATAAAAAAAATTATAGTAAGTAATAATATAAAATTTTTGTTTATCTTCAATAGGAACATAATTATAACTCGTTCTAGTTATTAGAACCACTCTATATACAGGGTGTCCCAGCATCAGTGGTACAAATTAGGAAAGGGTGATTCTACACCAAAAAACAAATGGAAAATGAAGAATAAAATTTTTTCATTCGAGGCTTCGTTGTCGAGAAAATCGACTTTGAATATCCACTGGTGGCCCATCCGCTTTAACCTAAGTTAAGCACACGTGCACTCAGAGAATATTCAAAGTCGATTTTCTCAACAACGAAGCTTCGAACGAAAAAATTTTATCTTCATTTTCGATTTGTTTTTTCACGTAGAATCGATTGTACTACCGTTGCTGGGACACCCTGTATAAAAAGGAAAATTTTTAAAAAGCACACAATTTTCTTGTAATAATACTCTAATAAGATATTTTTAATAATTATAGATAGATATTAAATAGCAAATATTAAAATTCACTTTAATTTACTATAGGATGGATTAAGTCAAGCAGTTTAATTTATTTATTTTTTCTATTTCTTTATGAAAAAATGATTCAAATTCAGTTTCATCCTTAGGTAATTCAAAATTTTATAAATATATGTATATAAAATTCATTGATACTATTAATCAATTACGTAATTACAAAAATTGTTTCAAAAACACCTAAAATAATATTTTAGCAACTATCTAGAAGAAAATTGAAAAAATTGGGAATGCAGAGTGTTAGGTTAGGTTACGATACCTACATTTTTATCAGTAATTACATACGAAAGTAGTTCAAGACAAAATCCTAAAAAAATTTGATCTCATCGCGTATTTCGTATTTTATTCGTTCCTATTAAAATCGAAACTAACTTTTTGCAAAATAGTAAAAAATTGGAGTACGATACTTTTAATATTTCGAAACAAAAAACACCATTATCGACACATTTGCATATGAACCGTTCACTGCAAAAATCGATTGACTCCACTTTTTGAAAAATCTTAAATATAAAAAGTTATCACTATACTAAGTGCTTCGTCACTTAAATTTAAGATTTTTCAAAAAATGAAGTTAATCGATTTGTGCAGTGAATGGCTCATATAACAGTCATGCCAGAACCCCCAGATGCTTCAGTTTCCTTAATTTAAAGAAGGATTAGCGTGACAATTAGATAGGCCGATCGGGGTTGACGTTCCAATCGATAATCTTCGACTCCTTATCAGCCGAGAGGAGGAAGTTATCATCAGTCCGTGGCAGTGAGAAAGATGGACACGTGATCATCGGGAAAAAGTTTAATTTCCTTTCAGGGACGAATTACACGCACCGATTGCGACGTCTTCTGGATCCCCGAAAGAGCCTCATCGAAGTTTTAACAAGTCCTCTTCGGATGGGTAACCTATAACGATGACCTGTTACCTAGATTTTATTCTGGCTCGTTCCAACGACGGTGGACTACCGTCCGCGGCCGTAATAACGCCGCAATTATTCTCCAAAAGCTATAATTATCGACTCGTCCTATCAGCTTGTCCGGAAATAAATTGGAATTCTTAGATGCGACGGTTAAAGTTGTATAGGTTTGCTTAAAATAAACTCATTTAACGGGAAATAAAGGCCGTTGCGACTCGGGTAACTTTTCCAATCAGTCGCGAGATGGCGTAACCTACTGTCCGGCAGAATTTAAGACCCCAGTTGTAGGTCTATAGTAACATGGTTCGTGGTTGAATTGTAAGAGAAAGCGATTTTTCGGTTTAGTAATGCATTTATTTATATTATTATATTTAGTAATTATATTACTATCATAGTTATTATATTTAGTAATGCATTTATCAAATGGAATTTTAGAAATTTGTTTTCCTCCATCTTGAAAGTTCAACTTCTTTGCTATAACAAAGATGGCGTCCTGTGTACCGTTGCTGGGTGGTACAGTTGAGTTAGGTATAGGGTGTAACAGTATTTATGTTATCGGTTCTTTTATTTTTCTGAATTATGACATATTAAATGTTCAATGTCACAGCTTTACAAGCTGCATCGAATAAGTGAATAAGGAACGTGCGCAGAGCGCGATCATCTCAGCCCCCCCCCCCTCCGCCCCCCTCCCGTACAGCAGATTTACGATAACTGAAAGCAGCACCACAAACTTCATGAAACTTCACCAGTTGCACAAGTAAATTATTTTTTAACAGTAATTTCATGACGATTGGTACATATGGGTGTCCCAAAATTCACCCGAGAAGTATTTTTGACAGAAAACACAGGTTTTTAATTAAAAATTGTACATTTTTTATTCATTCATAAAGTTTATATCAGTATACTTAGTCTATCTTAGTACCTTAGTATCATAGTATCTTAGTACCTTAGTAGCTTAGTATCTTAGCATCTTAGTATCTTAGTATCTTAGTATCTTAGTATCATAGAATCTTGGTTTTTTTTTTCTTTTTCATTGGCAACACTACCGCACAAATGACGCAAAATTCAAATCCTGCGCGAATTTTGGGACACCCTATAGATATACGTTAAAATAATATAAAAGAAAATCTAGTGATTAATAGTTACTGTTATTTTTGCTCAAAGAATTATTCTTACAGTATTTTCAAGCGGTGTTACTAAGGAGTTGGCTCGCTGTAGTTCGCGAAACAGCCGCACTAGTCAGTGGTGGCGCGTCGATAGTGTCTTACGAGAAGATGACGCCATGTTGAACTAGCTTGGTTATGCCGTTCTTAACGTACGGTGAATTGTAAATCATTCGTTCTTGCAGATACGTGTGGATAATTAAATGCAATTAAAGTTGGAGAATTCATGAGGGGCTGCCTTTATTTATCGAGCTCCTCGACCCGATTCCATTCGGCCAGAAATCCTGCATAGCTGGTACTGGAATTGGAATTATGAGCAATGTAATTTTAGTAGCTAACATCGTCCTTGCTCGGCCGACTGCATATTCAAAACGATACTTGCTCACTTATTATCGACAATAATTTGACAATTTATTCATGGGTAAAGAGAATTTAATTTTTCTTCATGCGAGAACATTTCCAAAGTCAAATATATTGCCATAACAGAATTACAACGTTATTGTAAATTGTTACATTATATATTCACTTACCTCTGTCATTTTAATCGCTTTGTATTTTCTTTTTAATAGAATGAAACATTATGGTCGATTGTAATAGTTGTAAAATTTATTTTTCCAAGTAAAATGGAGAAATGGTATATTAATAATAAAATATTAGGTTCAGTAGAAAATTCTACGTGCATTTTGAAAGATTAAATTGTGTTTAATTAATACTTTTGTTTAATATTTATTTATTATTCAGATTTATAATTTCGGTTATCAAATAATTTATTTATTAAAATTTTTCTTTTTTGTTATTAAAATATTATCCTAGTTAAATTTATTAATACAGTTAACATAACTACAGTTAAATATTTTATTTTTTTTCCTAAAAATGTGGAGATCTCACAAAAGAGTAATCTGACAGAATGAGACCAATACCATGTGGAGGATAACTTATTGCCTCCCATTAATCTCCGATCCAAATTTTTGGAACGTTTTCTACAGCCGGTACGTGACACCAATCAAATTCTCCACACCACATAACTTTTCCAGCAATATTTTAGCGTCCTTCCGTAGCATTCGTTTTGACAGTTAAAATAACTATTCTATATCTCAACTACTAAAACAATTCTAATAAATATATATACTAGTATGTACATATACAGTATGTATATATGGTTTCATATCATATGGTTACATATGGTATTTCATTATATTATACTGTACGTCTTTTATTTTATATGTATATATTATTGATAACTATATGATGCATATACTATATAATATATATGTATTGTACACCATATATTATATAATAATTGAATATTGTATATATATGTTTTTTTATTGTATAAAATTATACTATCATAGAATAATAAAACCATGATATTAACTGTATATACTATATACATGTATAACTATAAATGTACATCATATATTATGTAATGATGTTATATATGTATACATGTATATCTTTTTCTTATTGTATAAAATTATACTGTTATATAATAATAAATACATGATATGAGCTATATATATATATATATATATATATATATATATATATATATATTATATGCATATACAACTATACATAATTATATAAAACCATGAAACAATATTAATGACTCTATTACTATAATTAACTACTTGAAGCTATACTGTTAACTATATATCTATAACTAACTGTACATATCCTTAAACCAATTCACAAGTATATAACTATAATTAATTACATCAAGTTACAAAACTGTACTATATATTAGTGCAATTTATGGAAATTTCACTATACATATCCATAAACTAATTTGTAAATATATAACTATAATCAATTATATAAAATTACAAAACTGTACTATATATTATTATCCCAGTTTATGGAAATTTTCAAATTTTTATTTTTCCATGAACCAAACATGTTCACTGTACATTCGATGTACAAATTTCCAAGTGAACACCCAATGGGATTAAGTATTTCGTTGTATACAAATTTTACTATACTAACTTTTGTTCTCGACAATTCGGATAATCCGGATTCTACTGTAAACAAATCCAAAAAATAGGACTTGTCACTTTCCCGTTCAGGGTATTTCGTAAAGTAAAGCGGAAATCAAAGGTTTAATTCCGTAAATCTGCAGTATTCTGTTAGACTCTGACCCGTCCTACCGTGAACTTTCAAATCAGACTGATTACTCGTCAGCTTTTCCATGACCCTTGGAACATTGAATTGCTCGCTAGAAATGCTGATTCAATTAGAGTTGGAACTTCACGGATTATAGTGTGCTCAGCATTAAGTATTCTTCTAAAAATAGTGAAACACAAATTTTTATCTATCAAATAATTCTAGCAGATCTATTTCCCAATCACGATTCTATTTCTATTTTAATAAAAAAATTTTGCATAGAAAATGTAGTATAATTCAAATATGATAATATCATAAATATATTGAATATTGTATATTTTATATTATTATAAAATTAAAACAATTTTTACTATTTATTATCCTGAATTAAATACATATTTTTAGGTTATTTAAATATGGCTGAATTTTAAGGTTAAGAACTTTCTTCCATTTCTAACCTCACTTTATCGCAGTATATATTATGTTATTAGCATAGTATATGTATAGTATATATAGTATAGTATGTATATAGTATATATGGTATAATATATATATGGCACCAGAGGTAGAAAGGAATGATTTTAGAAATTAATTTGAAATTTAAGCAATCAACAATTAGCTGTAAGAAATCAAATTAAATTAATTTAAACGTATGTTACTCGTTATTTATAATTTACAAAAAAAATGTTTCTTTCATTTTCATAATATTTTCATAGAATGAAAAAGGAACCCCCAATTATCAAAATTAATTTTTTTATGCACCATACTTATCTATATATCATAGACGAAAAAATTATTCCATTTGCGAGATTTTTCAAAAAGTATTTTGCTCATGTGATTATATAGCGAACGTAATTACAAGACGAAATTCTCTCATTTGCACAGTGCAAAATGATTCCACTATTTATCAGAATTTTCTGCATCCTCGACACACCTGTAATATCTCGTTACATCCTCAATATCAAATATTATGGTTCAATTAAATTTCTTTCGTGACTGCTGTTGATTCAAAAGAAACATTCGTATATTCCAACGTACGTGCTTGGAGATAGCTCCTTTTTCAGGAACAAGTCCATACGTTATTACGATCGTTTTGCGTCTACCGGAATTGCGAACGTTAAATGGTGTAGTTTCAACGGTTCAGAAATAACCAGCTAATATACGTAGGATACTAGAATTTTATCGTGGAATCACATTTCCCGCGCGCCTTCCCACTCCTCCGCTCCACTTACGCACCCCACTCCTCCGCACTATTCGTCCGCCCCACTCCTCCGCACTATACGTCCTCCCCACTCCTCCGAATTCGTACAAGTGTGGCGACACTTGTCAGACCGCGCGATCTTTCATGTGCAACGAAGCCATTTCGAACGGAAGGCTCTCAGGCTCGGCTTACATTATAAAGCGATTTCCGATACGCGACAGATCAATCTTGAGGATGCGAGGGAAACAAAATGAATTTATTGATGAAGTTATTGATGAAGTTATTGAGCTTGTCACCGCAAACCGCTAATTTAATTGGTTAACCCGGTCAAGGATTCTCGTCGAGCTTGACGTGTATATTAATTAACCGTTTCGATTTCTTTCTTTTTCGTTTAAAACAGGAAAAGCTTCTTGGATTTTTTAATAATTGGGATTGAATAAAAAGGTTGTTATTCAAGGTATATACATGTGTATATGACATATCTTATTGATAGAATGATTTTAGTGAAATATTTCGTATTTTTCTTGTATAATATTTATGATTGTAGCCGCATCTAGTGATAGTATTAAGAACTAAAATAAATTATATGGCACTTACAGCGCTCATTAGTCATCTTCAATATGAAATTTACATTCTTTTCTACTTCTTGTTAACAATTTTTGTTATTTTTTCTATATTTATTATTTACTATATATATTTTCTATATATATTATCTAATATATTATTTACAAATTAAATTCTGTGGTAAAACTTTTTTCTCAAATAGATGTCGCTGTTTTTTTCAACATTTATGTGAACATTTGCACTTGGAAAATATCAAAGTTTTTTTTTGGAAGTATCATGTGCTCTATGTGGAGCATCGTTGAGTCCGTTACTTTTATGTACTTTTTTTTTTTTTTTATTCTAAATGCTTGAACGTGGTATATTGCTCACTGATAAAAGACACTACAAATATTTCGCTGAAAACGTCACATGAATAACATCGTCTCGTAACATATTTCGCCCATGGGTGTAAAAAGGTTAAAATGTCCGGCACAATCGTTGTATATATCCCTGTTTGTAAATCTTCATTAAGGTCGATTCACAATGGCAATATTTGAGTAATACATGTACATGAACAATACAAAAATTAATACAGGTATAATTATAAAGTATAATTAATGACATATTGTTGAAAAAATTTCATATGAAAGTAGGTTAAAAATTTATTTTTTATTTTTAAAGGATTCAATTATGTACGGACAAGAGTCCGTGCATATTACATTATTAATATTATTTATACTTATTTATATTTATTATTATATTATTTATATTATTTTCATGTTATTTACTGCTCTTATGAATAAATTTACTAATCGTGATAATCCAAATATATACATATATTACTAAGTAATTATTATTAATCGATTCAATACGATTATTAAGTTTCATCGAAATAAACTTAACTAATATAATTGGAAATGCAGGAGTTACATATATGTCAACACGAAATAGTATTTTGAAAATAAGTTAGTAATTTCAAAACTATAGTAGAAATCGGTGAAATTTTAAGAAATAAAATTATCAAAGAGAAGTTAAACGACGTTATTGGAATATATTTAAATGTACCATTCGTCGAATTGGAAATTAATTTTAACTGCCGAGGGTCAAGGACAAGATGGTGTCCCATCCTGGAGTGGGGGGTGGGGAAGGGGGGTTGAATGATACTGCGTCGAAAGGAATCTTGTCTATAGATACGGAAGTATTAAAAATTCATTAGTAGAGGACCCGTTGTCCAGGTACCATCGGTAAAAGGAGCACGGTGAATAGTTTTAGCGAATATATCTGTAATACGTCATGTCCAACGTGCTATTCTTGTAATCCGGCCAATAAAAATCGACATATTTGGGATTTTTTTCTAAGGAAACCATGATACATGTTGACATGCAGTTTTCACACTCAGATTTATTTATACTTAAAGAATATTTATAATTTTTATTTTTAACAAAATTAATGAAAATTGTGGAAATTATATAGCCTTCAGGTAAATCATGTTTTTAAAAAACGAGCTCAAATAGCTGACGTGATTCCAGACTATCTGATTATTCGAAATGAAAAAACCAAAAAGCATCTTAATCAGTATAAATACGGCTACAGTACGAACCACTAAAAACAGCACAATTTCGAAAATTAAAAAACTGGCGACATTTTAAAGTTTATGTATTGATTTTCCTCATGATTTCGTCCTTTAGGGGATAAACAAAAATAGAAAAAAGCATCAGATTTTGAAATTCGTGGTGCACGGGATAAAAGTACATCCAGTGAAGATCTCCTCCAAATTTCAAGTCAATCGGTCAACCAAAACGCGAGCTATCCTGTCAGGCAGTTCGAAAAATATGGTTTCGAGAACGAGAAAAACGCATTTTAAGTACACCGCACTTTAAACACCCATAACTTCGCTAATTTTACGAATTTGAATAAATCCTTTTACACGAATATTTTCGAAAACATGCACTTTGAGAAAATGAAAAAAAAAATATCTATTTTTTTTAAGCCGGATTTCAACAATATCCCCTTAAATTAATGATGAGTCAATTAATTATTTAGACGGTACATAATTATTAAACGTATAAGGTAATTATAAGTTTATTAGATTTGTAGATAATTACTAGGTAATGTTAGGTAGATGATCCAGTTGCAGCATTCCTGATAGAGAGAAATTATTTGATAATGATATTATCGTATTGACATGGTAAGGGAGGCGTAATACTACATATATGCATATGTAAATTCGTATTGATGCATTTATGATCATAAATGCTAATATACAATATCATAAGTGAATACTAAATTGCAATTATAAATAATAAATCCGAGATAAATTAGTAATAAATAGTAATAATTCTATTAATTATAAATTTCTGTATTAGTTAATAATTTTATAATAATAATAAATTACATATTAATTATATAATAATGATTGTAGTAAACAATTATAATGATAAATAGTAATCAATCACTGATAAATTCTATTAATAAATAACAATTAAACTATATATATATTACAATAATTAATTAAATGCAATATATTTATCATTGCTTTGTTGTTATATAAAATAATAAATCTACGAATACAATGGTATACGTATACAAATAACAATAAATAATTTCACTCAATTTTTAATTACATTGTATCTATTTTACTGCAAATAAACTGTACAGTATACGTTTTATACTACTCGGATAAACCGCTTATGAAATGAAGCAGTTACTGTACATCATATCAGTACACGTAGGTACATATGCAGTAACAAAACAGTGTACCTACATTGTTTAAATATCGCAGTTCAGTAATTATTAAATAAATTGATGTCAAAGGTTACGGGTTAGTCTGGTATAAATATTGAAGTAAAACAGTCGATATAATGAACCCTTTTAATTCTGTTGAAGCATAACTACAAATATTCGTGGCACGTAGGACTCTCTTGTTGTTATTTCGTTTCAGTAGCCCTGACCAGGATATTATTATCGCAAACATGGTACTCTGCCGCAGAAAAATCGAAGCGGAATGTTCAGAAAATCTGTCTGAATCCTCGGCAAGTCCCAGAGGTTTCTCTCGCGTGCTGCATTCCGTACGACTATATACAGGGTGTCCCAATGAAATGGAATACCTAATGATCTCCTAAAAAATTCAAATTTTTATTTTTGCAAGTTTTGATATATTTTTCGAAAAACAAAGAAAATCTTCCATTGAGCCTAACCTAACTTAACGTAACACGTAACGATCTGAAAAATTCAAACTTTTATTTTTTCAATATTCCGGTATATTTTTCGAAAAACAAATTAAATTTTGCATTCACAATGTTCCTTTACGACCATTAAATTTTAGTGAAAAAATTTTTGAGAATGTTAAAAGTAGAGAAGATATTTCGATGCTCGGTTTTAATTAATTAATATTTTAATTTCGGTAAAGGTGCGTTCACACTGGACAACTTTTGGTAAGCCAACTGATTGCTGCCTTTGAGTCGATGATTAAACTATTAATAAAGGCATTCGAATTAGAATTTAGAATAATTTTCGTCAATGTTAACGTAAAATAAATTTTTCATGATTTCTTTTCATTAAAAATTTGTAATTTTTTTTATAACAAATTGCATTTAAAATTGTTTGTTTCTCTCTTCTCTGCAGTTGTAAATTTCCTGTTCTTATTTGTCCAAATTCAATAAGGTTAAACTCTCGACAATCCCGTGGAACACTGCTGTTATAAGTATAAATTTACTGATACAATAAAAATGCAATTCGACGCAGAATCGTTAAGAATATTGACATTTACAATCGCAGAGTTGCGTACGTAACGTTATCGAATGGCTCTGCATTAATGCAAACGCGTGAGTTAACCCATTTTTTATTGGAGCTTGACATCATTAAGTATTATTTTTATTATGCTTACTGAAGAAATCATAAAGTCTCCAATTTCCTAATTTTATAAGAATTAAATAATTTATATTATTTTATAATTATCCTTCACTTATTTATTATTAAAAAGTGTATGTATTGTACAAAAATTAATTACTTCATATTATTTAGAATATTTTACAATTTGTTACATTGTTATATTTTTTATAATTATTTGTTTGTACATATATTATTAAAAAAATTTGCCTGTCATAAATATATCTGCCATTTTGCAATAATTAAGCTTTCTCGGTTAAATTTTGTTTTAACAGGCATTGGGTGTAAAAAAAAAAGTTGGGGTAATTAAGGAATAATAAAATGCAATTTATGATCATAGTGTATGTAAAATACACCTGCTTTTCAAATGATTTTATAAATTCGATAATAAATTATTTTCCATTTTTATTTTATTATACAAAATTCTGGTAATTAAAATCCTAATATTCGAATAATTATAATTTTATGCAAATGCATCTACTCTTTACCTACACCTGAAATATTAAAAGCTCTGTGTTGCGATGGCAGCACCGAAGGTTAGACGTGCCTTACCATCCGTTTGGGGGATTAAGCAATATATTTAAAAACAAAATAAAAGAAAAACAAGTACTGTGCGTTCAAGAAAAGATGGCATTAACTGCGCTGATACTTCCTTGATCCGCTATTGGCTGAAAACGTTGATATTCGTCGCCAACTTCAGCCAATAGTGGTCACTACGTGTGATCATGACAGTGACAGCGGAGTTAATCAGCCATGAAAATGTAAACACGCTGTGCCTTCTTTTCTCGAACGCACTATACCAAACCCAACAGATTAACCCTTCCGTTTCGATAGTCTAGTCTGCCGAAATATAGTCACTGAACGAAAGCACGCGCCAGAAGTATGCACAATGCACAGTAGGCATTTACCGACCTCTAGCCTATTAATCGGTCGCATTAACATTACAACATTCATTATCATTATATGAACAGTAATTTGTTATTTAGTATCGAGGTACGTTGCTCAGTAGCGTCAGTTGCGTTGCTTTGTAAACTTCCACATTTTTATATGAGAGGAGTTTTATATGGGGAGTGCTAGGGAGAATCTGAGGCTAAGCGGCCGGTCGGATGTACATATGCTGTTGAATCGTTAGTGGTTGGTAAAGTGTTAATATACACTCTGCAAAATAGAATTCCTATCCTTCACACTCCCCCCAAGCATCTCTTTCGTGAAACAACATCATATCACCAACAGCAGAATCAACCTAATCCTAAACACGAGAATGGTACCATCATAATCTACCTCTATCCAAATCCCCACCAGAAAACTCAAATCCCCACCAAAAGTGTTTGCTCCTGTCATCCTCATCGATATCTGAAGATCTAGCCACGAGAACGAGATATCTCGTCGAGAGATCTGACCAGTAAGCTTCCTTCGCTTCCCACAAACAAAAAAGACGATCACTTGACCCAGGCCTATCGAAACAGTTGGTCCGCGTGACGCAAACAAGGGACCAATTACATTTTGTGCTAACTCAACGTGGTCCTTTCAGAAAGCAGGAGGCCTCGAACTGCGACTCGAAGAGCAGACGATGGAGCAAGAGGGCGTTCCAAAGGAGGAGCAGCGAGGTCGAGGTTCGTCTGCATCGCACCTCGTTGACAGGGTCTCAGGGACACTCCAGCGTGGATGGTCCAAAGTCACCGACACCTTCCAGACGTCGCAGCTCCAGCATAGCTGTCGCCAGACCGACTCCAGACCTGCACAGGTAAGCCATTAGATGTGTGTATCACTGATTAGTCGGTTACTTGCATGTACAGGGTCGCCCATGTCACTTGCACACCTTTGTAACTGTCAAAGTCTAACTTGCATGAAGGTATGTTATGTTGAAAGTATGAACAGTTGGTTAGAGAGCATATTTTCATAGTTCTTTTTATAGGTGAAGGCGTCTTGAAGAGTTTAGGGTCAACCAAAGTTTATACCAGAGTTTAGACAAACTTTTAGACCAGAATTTTATGCCAGAAGAAGGACGTTGACTGAAAGGGCTTTGACATGCATCATTTCCTTGAAAATTTGATCCTATGTGAAGTTGGACATTCAGAGATTGTGTACAGGGTGTGACTACCTTAATTATTTCCATTATGAGTGGATTAATTAAAAATTTGACAGAGGTGACATGTCTTAAAAGATGTTTGGTTTTTCCTATCCTATTTGTTTTGAAGTTTCCATAAGTTCTCAATTAATTGTGTGTTATTTTTCACCTGAATATTTGTATCAATCTATTTAAGGTTAAGAAGGGAATGTTTATTTTTGAAATTATTGGATTGATCATGGTATTTACCAACTGATAGATAAAGAAAATTTGTTTGTTGCTCATGTTATATATAAATTAGTTGAAAGTAACGTTGAGAGGCACAGGAAGGATTAAATGTCATCATTATGTCATGTGTAGGAGAGGGAAGTTAAATTGGTCCACATGTAATGGAAATGTAATTGAAGTGGTCATGTCGGATGTATAGGGTTTACCGAGATGAATGATTTTAGCTTAACGTAGGTGTCCCAAGCGATGTTCATTGACATTAATCCAACTGCGCCATCTATTAACTAATGAGGAAACTCGGAATTATGTCTGGATCAAGTGTAATGCTTCTGGAATTTGCTGTTTCGTACACTCGTGTGTTATTGATGAATCAGGATACACTTTTAAATGCCCTGCAAAATGTAGTCTGAGGTAGTTAACAGATTTAGAACCAATAAAGGTCACCTTTTCACTTGGGATTCGACGTTCCTTCATATCCTGGTATAAAAAAGTATAGCCTTTCATAAAAAGTAACAAAGTTGACCTTAAAGTCTTTGAAATGTCTTCACCTAGAAAAGAAGATGCATGCACTGTATGATGCATCTATCCAAACCATGCACTTTTCATATAAAAACATATTTTAGTATACTGCATATACACTTTGCATATTATAGAAGTGTCTGGGTTGCCTGGACCACCCTGTATATATACTGTTTGTGAAGAAGCAGTAGGACACTTGAGGATTTTTAATGCTCCTTTAGAGTATTATAATGTATACAGGTGTTACTGTTAATGATATAGTAGAGGACTATTTTAGTAATGGAATCAGAGTGGATTAGCAGGTTTTTGAATTAGTAGAAAAAGCTTTCAAAAGTTGAAACAAGAATATATAATATGGAGGATTTGTCTAGAAAGTATCCATTTTGAATATCTCAAGAGTGGAAATCATGATCTTCATGTGTAACTCAGCCAAATATTTTAAACAAACCTCAACTTTAATTATGTAACCAATTATTCTTTTATTTTATATTATATGATTATTTATATTATTATTATTTTATATTATTATTTTATATTATTATCATTATTATTATTTTATTTTATATTCAGTCAATTTTTCAATTAAATTGTGTATCATATTGTTGTATACTTTCTTGTGTAAGGGGAGTTCAGAAGTTTAGTCCTCATTCAGGATCATGTACTATGTTAATTGAGTAGTATTTCATCATTTATTAATATTTAAAAAAAAATTTGTGCATTACAGTTTGAGAATAATTAAATTTATACTGAGTAATTCAACAATGTTTTCTGCATTAAGTTTTCTGCATTAAAGAAATAGACATGTCAGTAAAGAGTATTTGATATAGAATGTTAAGGGTATGAGAGAAGAGTGAGACTTATCATGTGAATGAAAGTTGCATAGTCATCTAGGTTTTAGATGGATGTCTTTTTTAAATTAGGGAAAGTACTATTATATTATTAAATAATAATTTGTCTCGTCAAATACTGCAACAATTTAATCATTTTTGGTTCAAATATGTATTTTGGATAGCTGTTTAAAAATAAAAAAAATAAATTTATTGTACATCTACACAGTGACTCATTTAATGATAATTGAAATTGAAAGTTTTTTATTACAATTATAATTGTTTTCACACTATATGAGATTACAAATAATGAATAATTTCAATATGATAAATAATAAAATATTGATATCAAGGAATTTGTAAATAAAATATGTAAAAGTCGTATTAAATAATATTTTAAATGCTCTTTTTCATTTTATTCTTTAAAGGAAAATAGTTGGACCTTTTTTACATCAGAGTATCATACAGTTAAGTTTTGCACCTAAATATGCGCCCAAGCAGTTCAGTTTTTAATCCGAACTTTTTATAAGGTAGTAGTTTTGCTATCGTTCACGTAATTACTTTCTTAATTACTTTTACTTTTATACAAACTTTCAAATTATTCCGAAACTTTTTAAATTACTCTTAGCTCTCTGTATCATTATCTATCGACCTATCTGTATAGAATTTCGTTAAATACCTGTAATGATTGATAATTTTGACTTTCTTATAAAAAGTTCATATATGAAATTAACAAATTATTTTTCCTTTTTTTCTTTGCTTAAATTTCTAGCTTATTATATATCATTTAGTATTAGATAAAGTAATTTATTTAATTTATCTAATTTATTTAATGTTTATTGTAACAAATAATCATGTGATTATTTGTCATATTTGTTTATCGTAGTCTGTGTCAAAATTTGAGAATTTTATAAATAAATAAAAAATTCTAGTATTTATCAGTTGCAATAAAATCCAAATTAAAAAAATAAACAAAATAGAAATTAAGTATTTACCAATTTTATTTACAACCTATAGATATTCATTTATTATATAATTCTAGTAATAATAGTACATCCTGTATTATATCATGTAGGATTCTATAAGTATTTTTGTCCGTGTGAGTAATAGTTGTTGAGTAATTTTTTTTTTTAATTCAAATTTTCATATTAATAATTCATAAAAATAAAAGTAAAATAAAATCTCAAAAATATTACACAAATTTGTTTAATTTAAATTTGATAAAATATTTTTGTTAGCTGGTTAGTAATAATTAATATTATTTTTTTCGAAATTAAAATTATTTCTGAAGTCAATATAACATGTTAGAAAACTTCCTCACTCAGTTTTGATCATTGCTGACGACGCATCGTAATATCTAGAATTACCTGGTTAAAACTAGTATTGACTAGTATCGACTTCGATAGAACCAGTTTCAAACAGTTAGATTGGCTATTGATGAATGTCGAGATTCGATGGTAATATACATGTAGGTATACACGTGTGTATACATGTATCTCGACTATCTACAATTTCTGAAATGTTACAAATAAAAGTTACTTCCAATGAATTTAAAATATTTTTGTAAAATATTATTCATATATATAATATATTGAAATTTCGTTATTTATTATTATTTATTACTATTGGTATAGGTATATAAGTAATAACAATAATTATATAAGTATAAATTGTATATTTATTATCTAATATATATTTATTATCTAAAATAATATTTATAGAAAACATTAATTTTGCAATTACTTGGAAAGGATTCTTCTGTATTAATTTTTTGCAATTAATGAAAATATTACTGTAGTCTTCGATGGTCATTTAACATTCGTGCGATGATTTATAATGGCTGCTGCAGCTCACAACTTAGTGCCTGCCATGTTCAAACTATTAATAACGTTAATAACTATAACGAAAATACTGAAGGTAGTATTACAAAAGAGAGTAACAGTAAATCAGTATGAATAGCTCAATGGTTGTTTTATTGCAGTACATCATAATTTGTACAACTTTAATTTTATCTAGTTGAGAAATTTCATGGTGATTAATTGACAAATTGAAATTTTGAAAATCTTGCTAGTTAAAATTCTGTTATTGTTGCAAATATTTTCAATTCAATTTTTATTCTTAACACTATCAATGACTTTTATATATATTGTAGTAAACACAACAAACGTAGAGTACAAGAATATAAATGTCATTTTTTAAGATTGATTTGCGAAATTTGCATAATAATATTCAAAGTAATACAGTACTGAATCGTTCATTTTAAAATCACACTTATTTCCATTGAAAAATCTCAGATATACTTTCTGATTATTCAAATGTATGCAGTCAGTTAATATAACAGATTATACTATACACTATAGTATATTCTAACCTACAAAGTCTCACAATAAAGATCCAGATTGCAGTGATAACAAAACACAATTCTTTTTTTTATTAAATGACTGTATTATTTGTACCTATTTACAAAAATTTTGACAAATAGTTTGACTGTACTTTATGGTCATTCGAAACAGCCATGTTTCATTTTTAAAAACAGTCCTCCATAACATTAATTTGATAGAAACCTTCGTTTTCATTCCCAACTATTTTCCAAATGTAATATGACTCCATAGTTTGAAACATTTGATCAAAAATAATTTTCTACTTGCAAAAAGATATTTCATAAAAATATATCAGTTTCGACAAAAGTAAAAAAATTCTTGTTTGTCAGAACCATTCTCCGACTCACCCTAAGGCTAACAAAACCATCGTATTTTTTTTTCTTTTTTATTTTATTTAGTGAACATACTGTACTCATTTTATGTAGCAAATATTACAACATTCTGTATATGTTATGTTATGTATATTATTATTGTATATTATTAATATACTGTATTATATATACTATATAGTATATTATTATCAATATAATACTATGTATATTATAAAAAAAAAATTCTCACAAAAGAAAAATTTACCTTAATTTAGTATACTTTGCAATTTATCTTGTGCAATAATCAGTATATAATGAAATAGCTCTTAAAAAATAATATTCTGAGAATATCACTATAATATCTGCTGTTATTGTCACTACACAACCAATTGATTAAAATGAACTAGTCATTAACAAAAATTTTATTATTTTATTTTTACTCATAGCTGCAAATAATACCATGACTAAGCTAAATTTTACATACCATAATATATAATACTATACTTATAGTATAAATTTTGATGTATGAGAAACTTCCATTTTTAGTACATTTTAGTGTTTCATAATATCCTCGATGTTTACCAGATGCTTATTGTAGTTTGCTGTTGTGTGATTTGGCATACCGTTTGACTCTTCAACACCTGCAAAGATAATACATGTCCAACATAAACAAACTTAAGCACAGCCCAACTCTGAAAATAACACCCTACTATCAATCCTGAAAACATTGTCATGAGATGTAAGTACATATTATAGCACGACTTATAGCAAATTCCTCTGTCCGGAACAATAGGTTCCTGCAAGCAGAAGCTGGACCCTGGGGCCACCTGTCGCCCTCGCCTAGAAGCCCCACCAGAACTCCAGCAATAAGTCCTGGAGCAGTGTCCTCGTCGTCTCACTTGAGTCCAGGGGCAAGTCCAGGTGGTCCAAGCCCGACCAGTCCAGCTGGTCCAATCGGCTCAGCTTCTGGCTCCAGAGTTCCAGTGCCAAGGCAATATCGCGGACGAACGAGCAGTATGCCAGCAGTTCCACGTCACAAGGTAAGTCACTGCTTGCCAGAGCTTCTGTGGTCTCTGTTAATTTCCTAGAACGCTGTCGAATATTCCACGCCCCGTAGCAGAGACGTACCTTTGGTATATTGACTGGCATTCAAGCTATGCAGCCTCTGTAAGATGAATTTTGATAACACCGCGTGGGAAGCTGGTATTGGGTCGCTTCAGGTCTCAGTGGTCAACACCCTTTTGGAACAACCGTTTCCAGTTGGCACAGGATTCTCTTGTGGAATGCTTGGTATCATATTGCCATGAATTTGGTATAGTAGATAATGTAAGAGGCATAGCAGATAGATAATAGAATTCCTGTATTTAGAGGAATGGAAATATTGTGGATAAGGGAATTTTTGGGTTCAAGGAAAGAAGGGAAAAAGGAAAGAGGATGTTTAAGTGAGAATTTGATTGAAATGTATTTAGGTGTATGTATATTTAAATAGAGTAAGTTGGCTTCTTGAAAGTAGGAAATTATCAAAGCAAGAGGGATTCAAGGAACTTGCAAATTGGGGATGCATTAGTTTTGCATGTGGAACTTATGTACAGGGTGACCCATGAAATTGGGACAAGGTGTATTTTTAAAAGGGTTGGAAATGGTGTAAAATGTCATAGAACAGAGTAACATTTTAGAATTAGCTTTGTACACTAGTACATCTAAAAAATAAGGTAGTACTTTTCTGTTTTTAAATAGATATATCTTTGACTACCATAATCAAAGTAACTTTGAACTATTCATAAAAGCTTCAGAAATATTGTGCAATACTTAGGTTTGAAAAATCTGTAGTTTAGTATAATGAAACTAGCTATCAAAATACAATAGCAAAGATTTTAAATACATACACTATACAATTGTATATAAAAAGCTGCAAGTCACATGAGCTTTGTATGAGTTTGAATAATTCCATCTCAATACCCTAGACACCTACTAATTGAACTGATGAATTAGATTACTGTAACATCTCTGAATGAGATACATGAACTGTGCACTATTTAATATATAATGTACTTATATTTGTTACTGAACTATGATTGTAACTATGGACATGCTCTGACAACTCTGTAACGACTTCTACTACACTCCACTCTTCTCTGCTAATTGCTAACTCCCACCTATCTAACTCTCAACCCTGATCCTTCACTAACTACTTCCTCTCTGCTAACTTCCTTTCATCTTCTATTTCACAGTTTCAGTTATTCTATGCACCCATTTCTAAATCCCAATCAGGCACATTTGGTCAAGATCATAGGTATTTGAGAAGTCATAGGTATTGATGTTTTCTGAAAATGGATCTTTCTTAAGACAGGTTCTTTTTCCTATATTACAGTAGGTATTATTAGGTACCATAGGTAGGATGAGAAGATCATAGGTATTGAATTTTCTCCAAAATGGATCTTTTTTGAGACAGGGCCCAGATTCTTATCATTACATTTAGGTATTATTAGGTATAATAGATGGGGAAATAGGTATAATAAATGAGGTATAATAGATGAGGAAATCACAGGTATTAAAGATTTTCCAAAATAGGTCTTTCTCAAGGTAGATACTTTTTCCTATCATTGCATTAGTTATTATTAGGTATCATAGGTAGGATGAGATCATATGTAATGAAGATTTTCCAAAATGAGTCTTTCTTAAGGTAAGTCCCTTTTCCTATCATTGTATTAGGTATTATTAGGTATTGTAGGTAGGTTGAGAAGATCATAGGTATTGATATTTTTCCAAAATGGGACTTTCTTAAGATAGGTCCTTTTTCCTATTATTGCATCAGCTATTATTAAGTATCATAAGTAGGATAAGAAGATAATAGGTATTGATATTCTTCCAAAATGGGTCTTTCTCGAGACAGGTCCTTTTTCCTATTATTGCATTATTATAGTTTTCTTTGTTATACTATTTTTCCAAATTAAGGATAAAGTTGATGTGGCATCGATTATAGAAAGTTTTATGTGGATACAGAAATTTGTGAGCTGTATTTATCCAAATGAATGCAAGCAAATTTTCAGAATTGTAATTAATCGATGGACAAATGAAAATGGTACTCTGATAAGAATATTGGATATTTAATATGAACAATCACGATACATACGCGCGAAACAAGTGCACTCGAAAATCTAAGGACATTAAAGGGGAGTTTTTACAAAAGACATTTCGAGAAGCTGGTTCGTTCACTCCTCGATTTCGATGGCCAGGCCGAATTTGTGGCCGCCTCTCGTCACGTTGGCACAATCGATGTTAAACGACAGGCTGAGCGTCACGTGCTCGTCGAGCTTCTGCTGCAGGCTCATGCCCAGCTGAAGATCCGTGTTGAATTTACAGCGAAACGTCGATCCTTCGTCAATGTTGTATTTCGCCGCTGCACCCAGGGTCCAATATTGAACTCCATGATTTCTCGCCAGAATACCGTTGATTGCGGCGTCCCAGTCTTGGTGTACTTGAAAAATAACAAGAAATATCGTTACTCCATCGTCACACTCCATTGTTCCAACCCTCATCGTTGGATGATGGTATTTAAAATTTTGTCTTCCATTTTATGATATATTTTATATTTTTATATTTTATCATATCTCTTACTTTTTTATATTTCTATATTTTATATTTTTATATTTTATTATATCTCTTACTTTTTTATATTTCTATATTTTA